TCAAGCCACCGCCTACCTCAAAAAAGAAGGTTCAGGGTAGCCAAATCAAAACGTAGCACTAGTTGATGAAATTCCTGAGTCATGTAGGGAGATGTAGACTGTCTGACTGAGGTCCTCGAGACGAAAAGAATTAATAGTTGAGGACACCTGTGGACATGGTTAAAATAAGTCAATAATGACCTAGATATGTACTTTGATAGCACTTTTTTTCATCCACCTGTTCATGAGTGTTCGTTAGGATCTGAACACTAACTAACACTAGTTAACTCGTGACGATAACAATATTTAATTCAAACCAATGGCTTAGATAAACACTATCCTAGACATTGATTGTTATTTGCATACACACAAATAATTTATGCAATTCCATACCAATAACAATCAATTTTGGTACTTCGTAAGACTCATTTACTAAGTAAAAAAAAAACAAAAAAACTATAGTGAATGTTGTTATACAGAGAACAACATGAAATTAGTTTTCATAAACCGAAGCATAAAAATGCATTTCATTCAGCTAGTTATACATAAATGTGAATAAATTTTAAACAAGAAGTATGAATATTGAAAACTAGCTATGATTACCCTTGAACATTGAATGAAACAAAAGGTTTGATGTTAAAATCTACTGAATGAATGTAACATTCAACTATCATGATATTGAAAAAGACAATCTGTGGATTGATTAACCTTCAGTAGTTCATGTAGTGTCGTGGAGTTACAAGGTTTTCAATGCCTGAAGCTTAGTTAGAGGGGGATACGCTGGCTGGATTGCGGAAAAGAACCTAGAAGATCTGCATTTCGCCGACGACTTGTGTCTGATGTCACACAAACTTGAAGATCTACAGGCAAAAACTAACAAATTGATAGAAGAGATGTGGCAACAAAGACGGGACTTTAAGTGAATATAGAGAAGACAGAAGTGATGAAGATACCGCACCACCACCACCACCACCAACAACAACAAACTCCAGTCACCATCAATGGGAGAAACTTAAAGGAAGTAACCTCCTTCACCAATCTAGGAAGCACTGTTTCAACTACAGACGGCACAGACGAGGATGTCAAAGTCAGAATCGGAAAAGCAAGACAGGCGTTCATTAGCCTAAAGCCAGTGTGGAGATCTACTGCACTCAGCATGTGGAACAATACCCGGATTCTCAACACCAATCCAGTCAAGTCAGTGCTTGTGTATAGTTCAGAGACTTGGCGCCTTACGAAAGGCATTTCCAACAAACTACACACATTCATCAACAACTGCTTACGCTAGCTCGTTACTGAACATCAGATGGCCAGAATAATAAGAATAAGCAACAAGCAACTCTGGATAGTGACGAACCAACCAAGAACCTATCACTCAACAAATATGCGGCAGAAGAAAGTGGAGATGGATTGGAGTGGGCATACACTGAGGAGGCCGACTGGGGACATCATGCGTCAGGCCAGTTGCTCGAGTGGAACCCAGATGGGAAGAGACGAGTTGGGCGTCGGTGGCGAGGGTGACGTGGAGGAGATCGTGAGAGGAGTAAATGAGAGCTTCTGGGATGTCGTGGAACCAGGTTCAAAAGATCTCAGAGAACAGAGGTCACTGGAGACGTGCTACTGAAGGCCTATGTTCCACTAGGAACCCAAGGGACTAATAATAATAATAATAATGATATAAGCTTAGTTATGCAATGTATACTTTTAAGAGGTTGACAAATGAATACAACTGAATAGTACTGAATGATTTCTTCCTTTTTTTCTTTCTTCTATTGTTATTATCTCTATAAATACCCTGAGAATATTATTGAAAAGAGTGAAAACAATGAGCAGAAGAATTCAAGAGGAAAATTATATGATGACTCCTGGATTAGTACATTAGATTTACCATTCCACTACTAAGATACAATTGAAAAGCTACAGAAGATATTAAGAGTCTTCTACAAGACAACCAACACTCTCAGAAATGCCTTTAGTCCGCTTATCTTCACAGAGGATTGTGTCTTCAAATTAGGCTTTTCATATTGGGGAATCATCGTGCAAGATCCTTTATTGGGGTTAAAGAATATGTAAGTTACACACACACGAAAAAAAAACCACTATCTATCATTATCACAAAATTGATATTGAAAATATTAAAAATTATTCAAGAATGCTTTTCAAAATACAAGGATAGATATATAGGTGAAGCAATTCACAGTACATTGAATCACCTAATGTACTCAACATTAAGGAACGTGTAAACTATCCAACCAACTTGAATAGTTTTTCTGCAAATAACATCATAACTGAAGTACATAAGCGTACAAACAACTTCCATTTTAATTGGTTGATTATGTATATCATACAGTGAAACAGGATACATTACTGGATTACGTTTCGGACACAATTTATTCTCCTCCACAGTCATACATCTCTGAGACATCCTTTATATAGTCTTAATTTTCTCACTCCCTTTCTGAAATCGATAATGAGATTCCCTATATATCTAGAACAGGTGCTGAGTAATTCCACTTGCATGTATTAGGCGTTGATTCGATAAAAACAGATTCTGTTATCAATCTCTCTCTTCACCCCGCTATATGTTAGGGATTTTCACCCAGTCCCTCCTATTGCGCGGTTGCGTAGCTATGGTTGAACTTTTTTTCTAAATTCCTTATTTGGACACTGGTGTCTAAACTCTTATTTTGTTTCCGTTTTATTTTGCAATCCAACATTGCTAATTCCCCTTTATTATTTTCTAATTCTACAAAAAAACCTTTACATTCAAATCGTCTCACCCTGTCAGTTAAAGTTGACCTGGTAAAATGTACAAATTACAGGTTCACTTAGCATTACTAGTCAAACAGAAGATCTAAGACAAGAAACCAGATACATTTGGGAAACCTTATTTATCAACAATTACCCTCCCAAATTAATTGGTAGGTTCCTTAGCAATCGTAAGAAAAATATTACTAGTATTAGTAACACAGGTGTTAATGGTAATAATAATAATAATAATAGTGGCAATAATGTGAAGATAGAATTTAAAATCCCTTCAGTATTACTGTAAAAAGAAGGCACTTCAGAGATACTGCGTAGGATTCTTAATCAGGTTGGCTGAGATTAGAGTGTTATTTCAACCTACAAACTCACTTCGAAATAAGCTTTATATAGCTTAAAAGATCCTGTTGATCCAAATGAGCAGGATAACTTAGTTTACCGAATCCCTTGCAACGATTGCGACGTCGGTCAATTAGGCTATCCGAGTATGAAAACCTAGCTAAGTTAAAATAGGTAGATCCTAGTAGGATAAAGAATTTAGAAGCAAGCTTGGCTGTAGTTCTGCATGCAATTACACACAACCACACAATAGGATCGGGAACGGTGAAAATCCTTAGAACTAACATACCAGAGGTGGAAGGAGAAATTGATAACCGAAGCTTTGTTTGTCAAACTAACCAATACCTAATATATGCAACAGGAATTACTCAGCAGCACCTATTCCAGATATATGGAAATTAGGACTATATAAAGGATGTCTCAGAGTTGTGTAGTTATCGTGATATAACTATGGAGAATAAATTGTGTCCGAAACGTAATCCAGTAAAGTATGCTGTTCCACTGTGTGATAAATCTAATAAATCAATTAATGTGGAATTATATTCTATTACAGTGCATAAGTTTTGCAGTTATATTAAACTGGACTCTTCATCCATAGTAGTTTTCTCACACCTACACCCCCACTTACATCTACACACGCATTCACATCTTCATCTTGAACTTACGACTAGTAATTGGTGTCGATGACACTTATTCCTATTTTATCATTATCATGTATGAAAACGTGATCTGATCCATTAAGTATTTGAGCATGCGACAACTTATACAGGTTTTATTCTCTGAAGAAGCGATTCAACAAGGTCGCGAAATGTCGAATATATTTCCTTTATAATCCATCTACCCAATACGCTCAATTTATTCAACTCTATAAGGTCAAAGTATGATCCTGAAGTCTGCAAAATCACAGATTTATGATGAGAAAAATTGGCAGAACTCACAGAAAATTTGCAATACATGCCGACCTTGAATCAGGTTTTTAGAATCCTACGACAAGGATTTGGTGAAATATACTTGAATTCAGTAGTATATACATGTCCACATCTTTCAATCACAAATATTCATATTGGGCGATGATTGAAGATGAAATGAAAACTTGTACCACGGCCGGATTCGAACCAACCACCACCGAGTTTCGGCCTCGATGCTTTCTATGAACTGAGATACGAGGTCCGACTGCTGACCACATTTTTATTTCATTTCAATCACTAAGGGTTTTACCTGACCACTATGTAAACAGTTTGTGACGCGTTACTACCGCTAGATCGTATTCATACTCGCTGCCTAGTCAGGACTTCTCATCACAATCACAATTAAAGAAGAGGAGCATCATGTCGATTTGCATTTCGACGATGAGATAGTCATGGTTTAGTGGTCGCTGGTTCGAGTCCGACAGCCGTCCAAACTTTCATTTCAACTTCAATTATCGCCCAGTATAAATACTAGTCTGCCAAACCACGGTTATCTCGGATAGTCAAAATGCTATAAAATATCTCACTATTTAGTTCCTTTTATTCTGCATTTCAGTTTATTTCCTGTTCATCTCAGGTAGATTCTTACTATAATGAGTGTTGATATCCTTAATCGTTTAGCTTTCCACTTAATTATGCTCGCCACTACAGTGATGAATATATCCTTCGTGATTATTTATCATTTCCGGATAAACCTTCTATTCGTTATTTTCATTATTGTATAGAGCATTTCTTGGTACTCCCCACGGCCCATACTGTACAAAGTTCACGTTGAAAATAACTGATATTATTCTGCTGTGAAAAATTAAAGCATGGCAACTTGAATCCGTACACAGTATGTATGGCTCACGGCCTACTGCAATACTATGTACAAGGGTGTTGAGTGTATATGTCGAAGACCCCATTGGATAGCTTATTAATAAGGGATATTATCAACAATTAAATGCTTACCAAGTTTAGCTGATTCAGAGATAGATTTGAATCGTTCATTCGCCGCTGTTTGTGCGTCTTCCGCTGCTTGAACATCTTTCATACGTGCTCTTGCTTTATCAAGATTACGATTGGCTGTTTCATAATCTGCAAGAGCACGACATCGACGATAAAGGAGAGCACGAGCAGCTCCTGTATCTATTGCATAATATCGAAGTGTATCGGACAATTTTAAATCTTCATCTGAACCCAAACGGACTAAAATTTTCTGTGAATTAAATGAAAACCAATTTGAATATATAAGACTTTAAAAATAGGTTCAATTTTGTAGGGCGCAAGAATCAAGACGGAAAAAAAATAGAACACAAAGGGAAATCTTTTGTTCTCGCATAATGTTATCAAGATTCCGTGATGATATAACTTCAATTTGACCATTCTGACAATTCCGTTATCCAAACTTTAGCCTATCTCACTGCACTCCACCAAGGAAGGAAATCTTGACTGGTAATTCTCTGCTTTTTCCAAACTGATAAAACCTTCTAAAATGTGTTTTTCTCTTGCTCCATGATCTGAAGTGTCTATACCTGACACTGTTCACCTAATATTTCCTGTAAAATATATTGATATGAAAAGTAATATTTACAAAGTCCCTACTTTATGTATTCGAATGGTATTTTCAAGGTTTGACTTGACAAAAATTAGTCTGCTACGAAATCGAAATGCAATTCGTAACCTTATACACATTCATACAGTAGGCAATAGAGTCACAACTATTGTGTGAAGATTAATCCTACTACCCGACTTCCCAAACGCCAGTGGGTGGAGTGAGATTAGAACCTGTAACCCAATAGTTGATAGTCAAATCTCAAAACCAATGAGTCACAAATCATCATCATCTTCATCATAAAAACCAACATAAGATCAAGCATTACTATGTAACGGTCAAAGTTGCCATACTTCATGTCACCATATCATGTAACAAGGCAGTAAAATGGAAGATAAAAAGGAAAGAGAAATCGATCAAAGGAAGTAGAAGGTGGAAAGTAGTGAAGGAGAAGAAGGCAGAATGAGGAAATGATAAAATTAAGTATGGTGGTCAAGAAGAGAATAATGTGTGTATACATCTGCACCATTCACATCGGTTCTCAGCCATATCACCTACAGTCCCCAACCACTAGTTTTCCTTGTTCCGTGGACCCTAACCAGCTAGTCTGTATCGCCTTACATCGCTCAAAACAACAGTCAACGACTTCATGCATTGATGACATGTTTCAGTCTGGCCACCCCGAGCCCTTCACCAACATTGTGCGATGAAGGAGACGGTGAATAGACATGCGTAACATATGTCCCAACCATCTCAGTCGATGAAGGTTCACAACCAAATCAACTGTCTTACTTTTGCCTAAAACTCTACACCTGACTTCTGTGTTACTCACATTACGAAAAAGTGGCCTATGCTACGAAGGCAATGGTGGTCAAACACCTAAAGCCTTCTCATGTCTCCCACCATTAATGACCATGTTTCACAGCCATACCGTGGAACATACCAAACTGCAGCACAACACACTCGACCCTTAATATCACCGCAGCGCCACAGATGGCGTAGGTTGGCAAAGGCTAATCGAGCCTTTTGTATCTGTGCAGAGATTTTGTCGACCACTGACCAATGCACAAGGGCTGATCCGACTTCCCAGGTAAGTGAAGTGTTCAAAGCGCTCAACCAATTCCCTCTTTTTCGTTAGTCGGGTGACCGTTGAAGACCAGTCCTTGAGTAACAATTTGCATTTCAGTGGCAAGAAACGCATTCCAAACATTCTCAAACTGCCACTAAAAGTCTCCAGAAAACTCTGTATCTTGTCAGCGTTCTCACCTAACAGGACTGTGTCATCTAGGTATTGTAGGTCTACCGAAAAATTTATTGTGATTAGGTCAGTCTCAGTGTAGTGAGATTTCAAGAATGAGACCCCCATGAAAAAGTTTATGATGTTCTTATCTATGTGAAATCACAATGCTGAGGACAAAATTGATGATTACTAGTTATAACTGTACTGTAAGAATAACTGAGCATGAACTTGAAACATAGTAAAACATTTTCCAAAGTGGTAATCAACAATTTCAGACACTGCAAAACGGAGATGATATTGTTATCAGTTAACTTGAGGTAACAATTTATGAAGATCTCAATTGTGTTTGTGCTTCAGAGTGTAGGCAGTAAAAGTACAACTGAGATAGATCTCACCTTGGAGATCTAACAAAATGCAAGTTTAACCATGAATTGAATGTATACAATTAGTCAAGTATCAGAGTATTACGTAACCTTCGAATTTCATAAAATCCATCAGTAGCTTTCACAAAGAAATCATGTAAAGCTAACTGATTTCATAGATTCGTCTAAACCGATGAAAATGTGATCAAATAATCTACGCAGTAATCATAAGCCATGGCAAGCAACGAATGTTGCTAAAAGTTATCCCCTGGCTTGTTATGGATTATCGCGTTAAATTGGAAAAACGCGTGTTTTCTGGAGGTATATTTTGTCGATTTCTACACTATAAAACGCATTTAATCATTTTGTAGTTCTTTGTACAGTCTCTTTGCGAGGAAACTGATGACTGTACTGGATATCTTCGTTGGAGACATAATGAGTTTATTTGTGAAGGAAGATGGTCACAAATAAAAGCAGAGTAAGCAGTAGCGAATATAATACAGGGGAATTAATACTTTTCAGTGGACAGTTATGTTACAAAACCCACTGGTGTTCAATGGAAGTTAGAGCCATCGTCACCTATCTTGATATACAGTAGCTAGCACTCTGGACACAAATTTCAATTTCCCTTTACAAACTCCCCCCTACTAAAGAAAATAAATCAATCACTTGCCTCCAATCATCATTATCAACATAGGACCAGGCATTACTGCATAACGGTCCAACTTGCCACACCTCATATCAGCACATCAAGTAGAAAGGTAGTGAGGTGAAGGATGAAGATAAGTGAATGCAGTCAAAAGAAATATAAAGTACGAGAAGAAAGGAAAGGGGAGTGACGAAATGGTGAGATTCGGTATAGTGTCGTTAAGATGACGATAATGTGTGCCACTCACATAGGTTCTCAGCCATATCTCCTAGAGTCTCCAACCACTGGTTCCTCTTGTCCCGTGGACCCCAACCACCTACTTGCCTCCAATAGGTAGATGGTGGTAATTTTAACCTCTTAAACCATAAAACGTTCCATTTATCGAAGCATATCACGTACACTAAAGCCTATTCCTTACACCAACTACCTAAATATGACAGACTCGCTTCACTTCTGTCGCTCAAAGTCGACTGGAAACATAAGCCAGGCAAATTCATTTTCGGAATAGCTTATAGTCACACAAAGGGAAACAAAGTTAAAAGTGATTCCATTTATTATGATATCTATAATGAAAGTGCCACTTAAATTTAAACCGATGTAACTTAATCTTCTCACTATCTCCAGATGTGCCAATATTTTGTGTAAATCGGTAAATGTCTTGACACTGCTATACTGTTGAGTCTCCTATGGTTGCTTGATTCTTCTTACTTAATTTAAACAAAACATTGTTAGTAGTAACTAACTAAGTAAAATCACTTTATCGTACAAGTGAAGTTGTGACTTATTGGTTTAAGGAGATGATTTTCAACTAGTAGATCATGGGTTTAAGTACCTCTCCACCTACCGAACAACCTTGAGCACATTTGTGAGCCACACCATTAGTGTGAGGGCTAATACTATGTGACTGCTCAAACGTCGGTAGGTGGAGCAGTGCTCAAACCCACCACCTACTGGTTCGAAGTCGATCTCCTGAACCACTGAGCTATAGTTCATTAATTTAGAGAGATAACTTTCAACCAATGAGTACGGTTGCGAGCTCCTCTTTATCTACCGAGGTTTGTGCGGCTAGATAATATCATTAGCCTTCACACTGTCTACTGCAAGAATGTGCGCAAGATTGTTGAGTGAATTTAGATTAGACTGTGCAATAGCCAGACATCAGATAAAGACTTGGCATCAAACACATATCTCTGAAGCCTCCAGGATATAAGTCATCAACAAAAATCGCTAAGTTTATGCAACGCGTTGACTAGGCTTTCTCAATCAGATATTCTAAACCTGACTTTCGTATACAAAAAAACAGACTATGATTAATTATTCTTTACCCTGGTGTTTCACGATTATTTTACGTTACATCATGTCTTCACCTTTGTATCTAATGAGCTTCGACCACAAGTGCTGAACAACTCGAGTAGTCAAGACTCAGTCAGGCTGATCTATAGTATTTCGCCAGTCAGATAAAAGTGATCTAACATGACTGCAGTTTTACTCCTATTTTACGTATGCCGGTTAATGCAAATCAGCTAACCTGATTCAGGTGATGTGAAATGATTCTGTCCCGTGAAGTGAATTTATTTGGGTACACTGCTGATGAGCTCGGAACCAAACGAGCGAAACTACCGTTCAGTATTTAGGTCACTCTAATCTACCTGCGAAATCTGCTGATCATCCTGAGTGGTTTCTAACTACTCAAGTGGTTCACAGGCAGTATTTCCCGCTAGTTCATGACAAAGTGTCAACTTTGTTTCAGAGATCATACCTTGGCTGAGTGGTTTCCAGCGAAAACCTTGTTGGCAACACAGAATAAGAAGTGTGCAAAATGTCAACGTGGACCGTTCAATATGTAAATCATTGGGAAATTTAACTTTGATTACGCCTATTTGTTTTGATGTCTTCTGATTGTTTGTCGGTTAGACATTTCTGAAAAAGCTTAGCAACTACCTTCCCTTGAATGGTTGTTCGCTTGACAATGTTTTTACAGATCTAGAATTTGTGATTTCATTATAAATGAATTATCATTTATCTTGATTAAGATATATATTATCATTTTGACGATCTGAGATAACCGTGGTTTGGTAGACTAGTATTAATACTGAGTGATGCTCAGTTGGTAGAGCATCGGGTCGGAAACCCAGTAGTTGCTAGTTCGAATCCGGCTGCGGTCCAAATTTTCATTTTACATTCAATCATCACCCAATATAAGATATGCTCGGGTTGTACTTGAGAAGCATTCTGCAAACCTGTTCATTTCTGCTTTGTTCAAATACATTAAGGGAATAAAATGTATGAAGTACATAAATGGAGTTTAGAGATATGAAAACTGTTGATAAGACAAATAAACAATTAGGTCATAGGTGAACTTTGTACAAATATGCACAAGTTCAAGTGGCTAAAGACCATAGTCAGGTAGTCTATACTCCTTCGTTAAATAGTTCATTAAATCACCGATCAGAAACGTTGAGAAGAAACTATTTTGAAGACACTTTTTTTTCAACCGAAAAGTATAAGGCATTGAATAATGAATTTGAAAACTTGCATTTCCTGCACACTCCGTAGCGTTTGAATGTCGTTTATTTACAACTAATTACTTAACAAATAAATTTTATTCTAGGTTGCAATTCATCATGAACTAGTATCAGTTAGAGGGACATTAGGGCACTGGGCAGCTATTTCGTCCTATTCTGGGACTCCTCAGCAGGAACTGAACCCAGAACTTTCAGATTCCGTGACCAGCACGTTATCATTGAGCCACTGGGTCGAAATCCAATGGTCTATATTTCCTTCTTCAGTCAGTACACGATATAGCACGTCCTATGTCCAATGTCGTCATTGAGTAACTGTCATCACGTTCGACCTAGTTGACTCTACTGGCTACAACTTCTACATTCCTATGCGGATGCCCGAATATTTATTTGTATAACTGACTTGGTTGTGGCAATCAATAAAATCCAGGACGCGCGTTTGTTCCTCTTTAGGAACCACATCACTCACTAAGGTGAAAGTATATCCAGTTGATGAATCCTAAATAGGGCGAAATGCATGTCTTGGATTCCACTGCTAGCCAACATCAAGTTAATTATATCTAAACTTTGTCTACTGTGATTGTATTCACTCAGCTAACGTTGTTCATTGAGAAGAAACACGGTGAATTGATACTGATTAAATAATGCTGTCGTTATTGAGTGTTGACCTATTATGTTGAAAAATGCATTGCCCAATCCGTTTAAAGTTCGTTTGTATCCTTCTAAGAACCTCAAAAGTTAAAAAAAGAGATAGTTTTGCTGAATATTACCATTATGTTTTATCATAAGATTGAAATCCCATGGGTATGCAGTGATAACAAGCTAGCTGATCATATAGAAAACAATCTTAAGTGATAGGAAAATGTCAAGGGTGAAGCATGTTTCGTTGAAGGGAATAAACTAACACAAGGAAGAAGTTCAACAATCATAATGCCAGGAACAGCAACCTTCTTTATGCAGCAAAATAATCATTACTTGTTCAACAGAAAGACGTAATATATCATTTTCTAAGTTTGTTAGAGAGCGTTCAAATTTAATATGCACGGTCTAGTTGAGGATTGAAATCCGATAAAAACTACTCCTATTTTACGTGTGATTAGAAAAATTCTACTTAAACAGAAATATTAGCCCCAAGTGACTTTAAATAACTCAAACACTTTATAGGTCATAATAATTTCACCTGATCAAAACATCGATTGTAAAAGCTAGCTGCCCAGTAAAACATAGAATAGAAGTGCGGTTCTTATCACCAATCAATTTTATTTGTTAATTGAACTGACACAAAAATGGATTGTGTAACCAAAAATAGGGGGGGAAATGGGCTACAAGTTCCCTTCTTCCCCCCCCCAAAAAAAACGATTTGTCCAGAATAAAAAGAGATGTAGAGCTATGACTCACTGGTTTAGGCAGCTAACGTACACCTAGTAGGTCACAAGTTTGAACCCTGCTCCGCTTATCGAAGTAGAGGACATGAAGCGATTACTGGGTTTTCATTACAGATGTCTTCGTGGCACTACTCAGGTTTGGTGGAACCACTGTGTGAGAAATAATAAAGTCAGGCGAAGGGTGCTAGGCAAAATAGGCAAATCAATTAAAGACGTTGTGAACCATAGTCGACTGAAATGGTTTCGACATGTACTGTACATATCAAGCCATCACCTACCTCGACATTTCATGTTAGAGAAAGTTGGATTAGTTTGAAAGAGGTTTAAGCGTGGCGAAACCCAAAACGTAGCACCAGTCGATGAAGTCCCTGACCATTGGTTTGAGTCATATGGGGAGTAGACTGTCTGACTAAGGTCTCCAAGACCATAGGAATCAGTGGTTGAGGATTCTTGGTAACATGACTGAAAATTGATCACAATGATGCAGATGTATTCACTCCTTGACATCCTCTAAAGTTTGAATATTTACACTAACCCTTATCTTCAAATTGTTTATTCTCTCATACAATTTTGTCTACTCTGATACCAGTCTTTTTCCATCCATCTGTTCTTTGTGTACTTCTATGAAGTGTGGCAATATGAGTTGATGCACTTTCTGTGAACATTTCTACGTCGATTTTGTCAGTTATATAATATGATTATTTGATCCTCATAAAATAGATGTGACTCAGTGCCTATGGTACGAACGTGTATATGGTCAATGAGTACATATTTCGATTGTTTTTTTTCCATCAAAAGAGATTATAGTTAAAATCTTTTGATGAATATTTCTGATTGACTTCCAAGACTGGTAGAATTTTTTATCGAGATGATAAAAGCATGAAATCAGAAAATTTCACAACTATTCATGAAACTATACTTTAGATAGATTAGAAACAGACTGATATATATATATATATATATATATATATATATATATATATATATATATATATATATATATTACTATTTTATTTTATTCTACAAACTCACTTGATAACTTTCGAAGAAATTAGTGAGGAGAGTTGTCAGACTAATTAAAAAATCAAAACGAAACGGAATTACAAAAACCAACACAATTAAGTGTACACAACTAATGCGAATAATAAGAAATTTTTAAGTAATTTTAAAATACAAGAATATCAACAATGTAATGTATATTAAAAAGCTAGAAAACTTTAAAAATTTTCTGAAGTTTGCTCAAACATATGTGTGCATAGGATGGGGGGGGGGGGGGGGGGGTTGGATTAACGTCATCACTCAGTGAAAACAAAATGCTAAATCTCATCAACTGAGGGGCTAACTTCAAACAGTAGGCACTGGAAACATGTATATATACATCAATTTAAAACGCTAATGTATGCCGAATAGAGTCTAGGGATTCGAAAAATAAACTATCTAAAAATTTATGGTAGTGTTCAGTATAGACTGATAAGAGATAGAGAACCATTGAGAATAATAGAGCATTGAACAGCTGCTTCGTTTCAGTATGGGATTATTCAATAGAGCCAACCCTGCATGGAATCCAGTACAGAATCATTATATTTCTTAGCGAGCATGTTAAGATTTATTCGCTGTATTGGAATCTAATGACCAACGTTTTTTTTAGAAACTTTGTCAAGAAGCGTGCAGCGTAACCATCAATTAATGTTTCAAATAAATCCCAGTAATTCAGTCACTTCCTCGACTCTTGATAAGTAATTCGCTATTAGATTCTCCTTCGCCGGAATGTGATCAGTCACGAAATCATACTTCCATGGGGTGTACAGTCCATCATGCCAGTTTCTTACCACAGTTTTGCGCTGCCTCAACCTTTGTCTGAAAAGATGCGACCTACATTTTTCTAATGTCCAAGCGATCGGAGAACATTCTTTCTCGACTGTTGAATACTTTTCTTCCATAGACATTAGTACACGGTTAGAAAACTGAACAACTTCCGGTTTGTCGGCTTTACGGATATTAGAACTCTCAAAGTCATTCACTAGCCATCTAACAGCTGTTTACTTCTATCAGATGCACTCTATGCCTCCTGTATCTACACAAATGTCCTAGCAATCTAAACAGTACAGTCGCAATCTCAATGCAGTTTTCGATGAACCAAATATGGAAGGCTGGTCTTCCTAAGGACTGTCACAGTTTCGCTTTTGAGTTTGAAAAACCAGTGTTCCTCCTCACAATCACAATCATTCCAGGTAGTGGCATCAATTCACCGGTGGTATAACATTTCTTTAGCAACCGTACACCTCTGGACTCCTCACTTTTTAAGTAATGACGACATCAACCGTTCAAACGCAAACAGTGTCGCTCTGAGGCCAAACGGCATTCATTTAAATCGTTAAAGTTTCTGCAGCACAATGAAACCTGCTTTCAGTCTATCACCTTTTGTTTGTAATTGCCAGTAAACTAGGTGTAAGTTCAATACCGTGAGCAGTGTACTTTTCTGTAAGCTGTCTGTCTGGTGTCTCGATCCACCGGAGCTACATGGTTTCAAATCGATCATTCCGTTTACCTTTATGCTGGATAGTGGCTATCAGTGGAAAGGATCACGAGACGTGTAATTTGCTCCAAAAACAATATCACTCACTGGGAGGGAGGTACACCCAGCTGATGAGTCCTAAATAGGACGAGACGCGAGTTCTGGATTCCACTGCTAGCCACTATCCATCATTAATACACAAGTGAAACACAGGCATTATCGAGACATCCGCACATGAGCTGATATGCCAATAGAAACCGATCAATTCGATTCAATCAACGACGGGATAATACAGGCAACTGCATTTTGTTTATAAAATCCATACAAAACCTGTATTTCCCATTCGACATCATTACTAAGAGCACAAGTTATCAGCTTCTTCAACCATATAATCTTATAACAACTCTTGAACCTATCGTTGTACTTCTTGTAAGCAAAGAGGAAGATGATGAGTCGAAAATGTCATCCGTATTTCATGTACCACCTTGTCACAATATCCATATGTTTCTCCATGTCTTTGTCTCTCACTAATTAGTCAACTTGGTGATGACATATGTTTATTTATCACGTACTCCAATCATTTCTATTTATACTAAGCGGTACTTTCGTATGTGGCAAAATACTTATATTTTATGGTCACCTTTCCATTTTCGTGTCAATGATTACATTCACTTTCCTCAAAACATTGATCCCTGTATTGATTGGATAAGGCAGTCACCAACTATTTGCATTTTCTCATGCATCACGCTCCTTTTGTATCAGCTGATTGACCTCTAGTCTTAACGACAAGCAATAACACGCATGGTAATTCCTAAAACTACTACAATTCTTCAACCTAAAGCATTTTCTAGACCAGTGCCCTATTCTTTAGCAAAGCAAACATGCGTCTTTTCTGTTGAAATTTGTGTGCACAGTTGCCACTCGCTTTTGCAGGCATTCGATTTCTCCCTCCAAGAAATTTGCCTCAGGTACCTCTATGGTTATTGTGTGTGTTTATCATCTGTCCAAAAAATTCTACTAATCCCCTACTATCAATAGGCTGATCTGAGTTTACAAGTTTCAAATGTTGCGCAATAGTGACCGGTATGCTCTCTATAAATTGCGTTGCGAATATTTGTACTCTTGACTTCTCATTGATATTGGGTAGTACATGGAGGACAAGACTCATTGGTCTCATCACCAGCACCAATGGGTCTTCATCCATGTTCAGACTTGCACTTCTAAACTAAATAGCCAGCATTCTATCCTTTGGGTTATACGATTTCCTCAAAAGCAGAGGTCGTAGAATGTCCCACACGTTAGTCTTTTGTACCCACTTTTTCTTTGTATAGTACTGTGAAGTTAGACTGATGCATTTGTTTGTGAGGTTCTACGTCGATTTTGTCGATTTATGCTCACACTTCATTCCTGTTGACATCATTTCACTGTATACTGCTTCGTGGGGCACCGTTATATCTCAGACGGTTCAACAAAAACCACCAGCTTCTGCTGACGTCTTTGACGCCACCAACTCCGTAACCCTGTCGAAGTCTCTCAGTAAGGTCCTAACATCTCCATTCTCGAATACTGCGTATAAAGATATCCTTCACTAGACGGTAGGCATCAACATGAATGCTGAAAAGTTCAATGGAGTAGGAGATATCGTTTATGGAGAAAATACGGCCGAAAAGAGTAAAAATACTAAACCTTACAATAAGGTTACCATTTTCCAATAATTTCTTATTCGTCATCTCTTTGTGCACTGTTCCTGTTCTCGATATTTTTATCTAGTATTGTGTATTTCCTTCACTGACTGTTACCACAACTACTTTTATGAATTCTCACCAGTAGAGGGATATCGGTCAACACTCCTCAACACACGAAACTTGTAAACTAAGTTCAACCGATGAATACTAGAGACTGAGTAAACGTTTTTGGAGAGATGATGGAAACAACAATACCGGTCGTACAGATGACTACAAATACCTATGATAAGTACTAACTTGTTTCAGGACTGACTCATCTAAAATAGATTGGCGCGTCTATAGATTCCCCCATCATCCTAAATAAAACGTTGGTTGAAGAAATCGAGACACAAATACAAAGTGCTCATTTGGTTTTAACTAGCTTACATCACTTACCATGCTAATCGAAAAACCGAAAGTTCATTCAGATTAGCACATTGTATGCTATTGTTTAACTATACCGCTTTGAAATACCGCCCTTTAAGTTAAAAGCAATGATAATGCTTCAGATATTCGACTAACCATCCAAGTAGATCACAGGTAACAAAATCAACTATTTTTTTTCCTTGATCATGCAAGGCTATCAAGTAATGACAAGTCCTGGTTCTAATTGATGACTTGCCTCGTAAGATCTGTAAGTTCTATAAAAGCACCAGCAAAACCACTTTGTTAAGTACCAAGACAAGAAATAGATTGCTTTTTCATAGCTAACTCATACTCAATGAATGGTCTATATACATGACCAGTTTCATAAGAAAAGGTGAGTTATTTGAGTCTCTGAATTAGCATAAACCTCGCCCAGTCAACTAGTTACTAGTCGGTCCTAAGCCCGGAAAAAGAGGGAAGGTTGGGTATAGGGCTACCAACCGTACACCGTAAAATCAATCCAATCCCTAAAAAAAACTCCAATTAATATAGAAAACATAAAATTATTCTCGCTGGAATCGGAGAGACAAAATGATACCGGTTGGTGAAAGCCTTCGAAAAGACAATTCGCCGATGTATATTCTCTCCCCGACGAAAGGAAATAAAGCACATGGACATGGAATGTACGAACGATGTTTGAACCCAGTAAGGCTGTCTAGATTCCAAAAGAAATAAGAAAGTATGGCATAGAAGTGCCAGGCTAGGAACCTGCGAAAGCAGATGGCATGGAAGTGGACTCTCGAAACTCTTAACTAGAGAGTCAATAATCTACTCTGATATTGTCAACCAGACGACAACCACGAACACACTGAGTTTTGCAGTGGCTATCATGATGTACCCAACAGCATCGAAGGATGTCTCTCATGCAATGGGAACCAATCTCCTCCTCCACAATCAGGATCATGATACCAATATTCAACTAAGAAGGAATGGAGGAAAGTCACAATCACACAATGCTACGATATGCACCCACAGATAATGTGGATCAATAGAAGGAGAAATTCTACAGATAACTCGAATCAACTGGACAACTGAATAGGACTCCATTTGGCGACGGCAACATCATAATTCTAATGGGTGATATCAATGCCAAACTGAGAGCAGACAACACAGAAAGAGAAGCAATCATGGGTCGAGAGGCACTCGGTGAAATGATGAATGAGAATGGAGGATAGTTTGCAGACTTCTGTGTATTCAACAATTTGGTGATTGGAGACAGTGTGTTCAAACACAAGGATATCCACAAAGCCACATGTATTTGACCAGACACCAGGATACACCACACTAAAAATCAGATTGACTTCATCTCAATCTGAAGAGGGTGGAGACAGCTTTCTGAACACAAGATGAAGAAGGGGAGCAGATGTAGGTTCACATCACTCACTATCTAGTGCAAGGAACCTACCATCAAAATGAAGTTGAAAGCTTTTAAAGAAGTTGGTGATAGACCAGAGTTCAAGTTGAACACCTAGATTAGAAAATGAAGGACTAAATTACATGACATATCTTCACGCCAGCCATCAGCAAACAATGGGAGATATTGGGCAACATCCCTGAAGAAGAACAATAGAACTGTTTGAAAGCGACGTGGAAGGAAATCTGCGTAATCGTGTAAGAAAGGAAGAAGAAAGAAGACAAGGGATGGGTCTCGACGGAAACATGGAAGCTGATAGAGGAGGGAGAGAAAGATGGTGAAGCAGAACATGAACCAGTGCAGTGCAGGGATGAACAATGAAAAGAGAAACTGAATGCAACCTCCACTTGCAAGTGAAGTAAAACAAGTTGCTGGTAGGAGAGACAGAGACCTGACAGGGAAGAGATCAACGCATATGAAACCAATGAAAGATAGTGGAGGGAACTGGTGCGGAATCGTGCTCCAATCAACACCAAGCAAGCAAAATATTGACCCGCATCATACTGAACAGACTAAACAATGCTCTGGATTCAAAATTACCACCGGAATAGGCTGCATGGCCAACTTCAGGAGAAACAAATCATGTGCGGATCAAATTCCATTGCTACGCCACGCATCATCATAGAACAGAGCACAGAATGGCAGAATGGCAACTCCCTACCTCAACTTCATCCATTTTGAAAAGGCTTTCAACAGTGTCCACCGAGAAATAATTTGCCAACTACTTCAACAATACCGTCTTAGTGCCAAATACCTTTACTAATCTCACTCAACAGCTAGATGCTGTGATGAGGCTACATGCCAAGTCATTCACAATGGATAGAAAGCTCAGTGATACATTTGAAATGGAGGCAGGAACAAGAGAACACTGCCACCCACTGTCACTGATCATCTTCCTGATTGTGGTCGACTGGGTCATGCAAAAAACTATGAGGAGCGGGAAGATGTGCATACGCTGACTGGACAGATGAAAGACTCCACAAGAACATCTGGATGTCACCAACGATGATGATTTATGTCCAATATCTTGTCGCACAAACTCGAAGATCTACAGGCAACAATGAACAACTTGACAGACCAGGCGAAGCAGCAAAGACAGAATTTCCTTCAGGTGGATGCAAAGAAGACACAGGTGATGAAGATACCCAACCAACCAACCAACAACAACAACAACAACAAGCAGCAATCACCATCAACAGGAAAAGTTAAAGGAGAAGCCTGTCTCTTTCACCTACCTACCTACCCACCTACCTAGGCAGCATCGTTGCAACTACATGCACACAAGAGGATGTAAAAGACAAGATCGGAAACACAGCAAGACTTCATCAATCTGAAATCAGTGTGCAGATCTACTACACTCCACTCCACTCCACTCAGCATAAAGTGTCAACAACATCCGGATTTTCAACACCAATCCAGTCAAGTCACTGCCTCCATGTGATGGTTCAGAAACTTGGCGCGTTGCAAAAACATCTCCAACAAACTATGGTCATTCATCAACAGCTGCCACCTACACTCACTCAATACTGACACTCAACATCAGATAACCGGAAAAATAAGAATAAGCAACAAGGAACTCTGACTGGTCCCGCAACGAACCAACCAAGAACCCATCACCCAACATATATGCAGAAGAAAGAAGAAGATGGATTGGATTGGACATACACTGAAAAGACCATTTGGGGACATTATGTGCCAAGCCCTCGAGTGGAATTCAAAGGGGAAACGACGAGTAGGGCGTCAGTGGGTAAGATGGAGAAAATGGTGTGAGGAAGAAATGAAAGCTTCTGGGAAGTCGTGGAGCCAGGATAAAGAGACTGCAGAGAAAAGAGTGAAATGGAGACGTGAAACTGAAGCGCTATGTTCCACTAGGAACCCAAGGGATAAATAATAATAACAATAAGCATACAGTTACACATCAGTCACATAGGGCTGCTACATGAAGTTTAAGTGAGTATGCACAAATTGATATCTCCAAGTATTGTGCTGTACTGTAAAGTTCTTCTAGGTGGTTACCAACAGATTGACTTTAAGGCATAAAATCGATTATAGTTATGTGGATGTGTACATTATATAGATAGTTCCAGATATTGTTTTTTTATCCATTATCAATCCATCTCACCTTGTTGTTTTGCAGCCTTCTTGTGTCTGTTCTATATATCAAGTCCTTTTGAACTATGATACAAATAAATGTGATTATCATAAAGATAAATGTGTATATACATGAATTAGATTTCAATATTAAAACTGTCAACTCACTCTGTTTCTGAGCTTATAAAACACTCTTTTGGGATTACATTAGATAAAGCTAACTCAGTACGTAATAGACTGTTTGCAATTGTTTTTCGACATTTTGAAGCTAAGTCAGCTGCTGTTGTAGCATCTTTCACAGCAGAATGATAACCAGCTAGAATACATTTCTCTTCACGAAAGAATATATCATTATCTTTTTGATTATTTAACCATAAAGTTTCATCAGCTGATTTTGAAACAGATTTAAAAAAGTCGGCTGCCTGTATTAAATAAAAATAAATAAATTAGAGTTAATAGAGAATATCTTTTAGGATGATTTTGATGGTGTTGTGTTTTTTGACTTGGATGGTTTAATTGTGAAACTTTCAATATCATTCTAGACAATATTATCAGCACTAACTTCAATATGAAGTGAGCTATCCCACAAAGTGGATCGTTTTCTTATCCGTCTTCATAAACATCAACTAGCAGTGTAGCGTCATGATACTCATATCAATGCATACCGGCAACTGTGGACATGAATTTGACTCAGAAAATGTAGTAATCCTGAATAAAAGGAAATACATAGAATGCCATAGAAGTTTTAGACACTTGGTATTCAGGTCAATCAGCTATCAACAGATATATTGACACTAACCCAATCTATCAACTCATAAGAAATGACGAGAAGGTCAAAGTTCAGGTAATCAGGATAATCAATCAAAATAAACATGGGGTCATTGGCAAGACCTTGGTAGAAGGAATTAGCCAAACACACAAGGTCATCAAGACAAACTACTAAACTACCTGTGCAAAAAGCCCTAATTAGTTGACTTCTTTCTGAGGTTTATGCTAATATAATGTTGTCTAGAATGACAATGACAGCTTCAGGATTAAACAAAAAAAAGAACACAAAACCATCAAGATTAGAGTTAGTAAAGAAACAATATCTGCTTGTAGTATCTATAACTAAGTCATGAACAATATCTTTTTATGTGAATACCTTCTTGGTATACTAGCCACACTTTTAAAAAATCTGGTGAAACAATTGTAAAACTGAAAATGGTTAGATAGTTTATAAAGCATTATATATCTGACAGAGATTTGAAGAGACCGCCCATTGACATTTACTGATTGTTCATAAGAATAACGTTTATTTTTAATATTCGTAGAATAAAACATGAGTTAAGTAGTTCCTTGCTATCTCTAATAGAAGAGAGAGCAATTACCAAAATGACAAAACAGAGTAGTTATGAATTATTTGTGATTTTAGCCATATGATTATCTGCTGACGTGCTGGCCACGGAACCTGAAGGTTTTGTGTTTGATCCCTGGCGGGGTCGTGGATGCGCACTGCTGAAGAGTCCCATACTGGGATGAAACAACTGTCCAGTACTCCCAGGTTTCCAATGTTCCTGTAACTGTGGTCAGTTCATGGTGAATACAAACTTGGGAAATCTCTAAATCCCCAAAAACCCAAATTCAATTAACTTGGTGCAGTTGAAATATGCATTAGTGTCAATCTACAGTTTTTTACTTCTAACACAATGAAGAAATGTATCTCGCTAGATGGGGAAACTGTGGTGATAGTAGCTAATTAGTCCATTACTCAAATAAGGGGTGGATGCACGGTTCACACTTTCCAAATCCAAAATGATGTTCTAGGGCTTATCTGCTGCAAGTACTCCCAGTTTAATGATAGGGAATGAAGTTTTAGAATGTGTCGACCACCTCACTTACACGGAGAGTTGCATCAGCCCAAAAAGGCTGATTGCTGACTAAATCCCAGCTCGGATTCAGAAGATCCATTTGGCATTCGCAAATATGTGTCATCACTGGCGCCGACTAGCGATATGTCCGACTATCCATCAAAGTACGAGTATACTGCGCCACTGCAATGTGTTCTGACCTGGTGTACGACTGTGAGACATAGCTATTAAGAATAAAAGATACGAAGCGATTACAGGTGCTTGATAACTGATGCCTTCGTAGCATTGCTCATAATTGGTAGAATCACCGTGTAAGCAATGATGAAGTCAGGAGAAGGGTGTTAGGAAAAATAGGCAAGCCGATTGATAAGGTTGTGAACCTTAGTCGATTCAGATGGCTTAGATACGTACTGCGCATGACCAGTCATCGTCCATCTCAACATCCCATGTTAGGGGAAGTTGGATTAGTTTGAAAAAGGGTTCAGGGTGGCCGAACCCAAAACGTGGTACCATTCCATGAAGTACCTGACCATTGGTTTGAGTTGTATGGGGAGATGTAAACAACCTGGTTGGGGTCCTCGATAGGAAAGAAATCAGTGGTTGAGGACACTTGGTGACATGACTGAAAATTGATCGCAATGGCGCAGATGTATTCACTCCTTGACATCCTTTAAAGTTTGAATATTTACACTAACCCTTATCTTCAGATTGTTTTTTCTTTCACACAACGTTTTCTACTCTGATACCAGTCTTTTTCCATCCATCTGTTCCTTGTATACTTCTATGAAGTGCGATAACATGAGTCGATGCACTTCTATGCAAGGTTCTACATTGATTTTGATAGTCAGTCAGTCACCTAACACAAGACAACGAAAAGGTATCATCAACCTTGAGTATAAAATAGTGACATATAGTATGTATAGTATACAGAGTATACAAGTTACTTCCAATCGAAGCAATGCAATCAGTTGATCTGAAGATGGAAAATTCAAGTTTAGAGAATAAGAACAGAAAGGTTACGTAGCGGTAACAGTAACATTTAACCTGTTGCTATAGACGAAGTGACATCATGGCTCAGAAGGAAACAGACCCTCATATTTTAGTTGGAACAAATATTCTCCTCAGAAACTTTGAAAGAAACCTGAAGATCAAAGAAATAATCAACTGTCTTTTACAGAAATTTCATTTTGTCCTTATCGTAAACACTTTTTATCCTAAAACTATGCAAAATACAAAGTGATAATCATCCTAGTAACTTCAAATGAGGAGTAGTAAGTGCTTAATGGCTGGAATTAGTGATTTCACCAATTTGGCTTCATTCATAAAAAAGGAAATTGTATAGACATATCATTCATATGTGTTAAAGTCGATATAACTGACAGCCAAAGCAAACAATCTTGTAATTACTTTCTATATATGACAGTCCCACCATCGAGATACAACGAAACAACATGAACGAAATAGAACTGAAAATAATGGAATAAATAATCGTAAAAAGTCAAAACGTAAAAAGAAGAGGGAGTAAAGCAAGCAATGCAGTGGAATATAAGATTTACAGCTAAAATAAAGCGTACAGGTACCTGAACTATTCAGATCGATTACAAGCCAAGTCATCGATTTCAGTACTCATTACGGGTATAAAACTTGAAAGCCTATAGCCTCCTAAACCGCTGAGGTGAAAGTAAGTAAATTCACAAACCAATGCAGTCTCTGCATGACCATCCACAGTTCTATATTAGATCAGTTTATTTGATAAAGCATACTGTGATACTGGATGTTGCTTCGAGCATAAATTATCGCTTATAATTATATCAAGGTGATCAAGTGACTGTCTTGTTTGGTTGATATGGCTTTATTAATTTATATTCTTGAATTTTAATGATATTACAATCGGTTAGCTTAGTCGATATAGGTTGATAGAGTAGAGAAACTCCCCTGAACTTAGAATAATGGAAACCATCAAAACAAGTAACCTAGGGAAAACCTCACGCATTAATATGCATCCATAAACACACAAAAGACAGGGACAAAGTAATAGTCCTAAAAAATGCAATAGTGGAGTCAAGGGAAAGGTTAATCACTGAATCTTTGTTCATCAATTCAACACCAATCTATACATATATATATATATACTACCATTGAAATCAAAGAATTGAAGGAAATAAACTAAACAACAAAGCTGTGTAGTCATCTTGACATGATTATGAGAAAATAATTGATGCTGGAAACAATACTGTATCCCTGAGTGCTATATGAAATAAACATGTTCAATACGGAACTAAAGTCTACTGCTACTACTCTCAGATTAATGAATTACTTCTTTCATCCAAGAATTAATATTTGACCTCAACATTTCTCTCATGATGATTTCAAGACACACAGGACACGCTACGAAAACAGTGCTAGACAAGTATATAAAGTCTTCTCATACACTGGCCCTCTCACAGCTACATGGTAGGACACGACGAAATGACGTGCACTACATTCAACCCTTAGTATGCAACTGGACATCTCACCAATGCTATAACTGGCATACGTTGGGAATAGTCTATCATGACCGAAACTGATCCCACTTCCCAGTTAAGTGGAACAACTAATACATTCAATCATTTCATACTCTACTGTCAAACAGGATATCAATTCAAACTATGCCTGAAGCAATAACTTTTATTTCGATAGTGTAATTAGAAGATGAAATTTATCTGAATAATGTGATATATTTGCGTAATGCATTTCGCATAATCTGATTATACATTTACTAGTCAAGCTAGTCTATATCAAAGCGAAGAATAGAAGGACAAAAAAATGATACATGTGATTAGGTTGTTCGAAATGTATTGTACAAATACATTTCATTGTTCAGATAAATTTCATCTTCTAATTACACTATCTACATTTATACAATGAACTAATTGTTTCATACTTTAATTTCAGTGGTGAGAAACGCCTAGAAGACAACTTATTTTATAGGCATCTTCACTGCACAAGACCATAACATATGTGAACTTCATGTGGAGTGAGGAGTCTCTCGTACGGAGGTTCATCTATTTGAAGGCAAATTATAAAATTGGTTGAATTTCACTAGCACATCCATGACAGAGTTAAGTAAAAATAGATAGCAGACATCCTTGACATACACTTCTTAATACAGACAACTCATCCAATAGATTACCATAGGATCTAACACAACCACGGTTCTTCGGTTTAACGCTTTCTGTAGAGTAGTCGACTAACAGAAAAAGTTTCAGTGAAAGACAATACCATGAAACCTCTAGATCGGTAGTCTAATGTCACCAGAACAGGGATTTTGGCGGTACATTCAAGTCACCCATGATATTTGCCTGCTCTTCTAGGGTTTGACGTTCCTGAATCCCTGTTATGCATCCGATGAGTACAGAAACTGAAAAGTCACACAACATATTTATTATGCCAATCTCCGTGAGATTATACTATCCTGGAAACTATGATTATTAGTAATTGAGACCGGTCATAGAGAGTCTGAGTTACCTTACTAAAGTGCCTCTTATACAAGCCTTTCTTAGGTTCACATCACCTATAACCTTTTCAAGAGTTGGGAGAATGCCATCAATGCCCCACTCAGGATGTAACTGTATAGCGAGCAGATGGAGATCAGCAGAATGCCACTTGAACTGTTCCTTAACGTGTTTTCCACATCGTGCTAGGGCGCCTACCCCTACGAATGAACTACAGACATATTTCTCTCCCGTAGTCACTTGACTCGAAGTTAGGGAGATAAACGTACCTAGGTAATTTTGTTTATAAATAACTAGTACATCTATCGAACTTTTACACAAACTGTCATGTCACATTAAACATGTATTCAAAAATAATTTCGACAAACAAACAAGAATAAGATATTTTAAGGAAAAACATTCTTACGAATAATTAACAAACAATAAGTTTTGGGTCTAATGTTCAGTTGATACATAGAAACTTACTAGAGTAAAGGCTACAAAATAAAACCGACGTGTTTCCTAGGCTCTGACAATAGCTGACAGTAGTTACTACAAAAGGCTCGGTTGGCTCTTGCTAATTTACTCCACCTATGGCGCCGCCGTGATATCCGATTGTCTATTAACGGTCACGTGCACTGCCCAGCAGTCCGCTCTGTCCTACTGTATGGCTGTGAAACATGGCCATTGAATATTGAAGATATAAGAAGGCTTCAAGTGTTTGACCACCGTGGCCTTCGTAGTATAGGACGTATTCCGTGGTGTCACCATGTGAGTAATGCAGAAGTTAGATGTAGAGTTTTAGGGAGCAAAGGTAAATCAGTTGACGAGGTTATGAACTTTCATCGATTGAGATGGTTGGGACACGTACTATGTATGCCTAGTCACCGACTACCTCATCACACAATGTATGCCGAAGTAGGCCCGAGGTGGCCAGACTAAAACATGGCACCAATGTATGAAGTCTCTGACTGTTGGTTTCAGCCATGTGGGGCGATGCAGACTAGGTGGTTGGGGTCTGCGAGACAAGAGGAGCCAGTGGTTGAAGACTCTAGGTGATATGGCTGTGAACCGATGTGAGTGGCGCAGATGTATACACATATTATCGTCATCTTAACGACACTATACCGAATCTCACCATTTTGTCATTCCTCTCTTCTTTCTTCTCGTACTTTATATTTCTTTCGACTGCATTCTCTTATCTTCATCTCACTACCTTTCTACTTGATGTAGTGATATGAGGTGTGGCAACTCGGACCGTTACGCAGTAATGCCTGGTCCTAGACTGATATTGATTGATTGAGTTACTACCCCAAAAATGACCGATGACAATAACGAAGTAAATGAAGAAGTAATGTAGTCCCAAGATGGCTAAAAACTAGCACTGATCGTAAATTATAATTCGTTGTACTTTCAAGTGTATATTTCGTCTTTCATGTATAAGAACATACCTTCTCTTTTCGTGTTTTATTTCGTACATTTAACTCTTCTTCAAATTCCAAGAAAACACGAAAACCATGATCATGCTTAAATGTTGGATGAGAAGCTAATCTTTGAAGAAAGACTTCGTGCATTGCAACTGTTTTTTTAAAGGTAGCCAAGTATTCACTGAAATTTAAAATAAGAATAAAAATGATGCATAACAATGAATATGAAAAACAGTTTAATAAGCAAAAAATGTGCTTAGTTATAGACAAGAGTGAAATATTAAATGTCTGTTTATGGCAAGATAAGAAGAATATAAACTCGAAACACAATTATAGCAATCTTGTTCATGTTCATGCAGTAGGCAATGAGCCACATTGATTGTTTGGACACTAATGACACTAAGTGAATGCCCAAAGTTCTATAGATGGAGTGATATGTTCAATCCAATGGTTGAATGTTCACACACCAAGCCAACAAACCACAGCTCTACAAGAATACATTAGGGAAGTTATTGATAATTTACAACCACGTCAACTACGGTTAGTAATAAGTAGTAGTTTCTGCCATCTACGTTATCCTTGGGTTATAGATATAAACCAACATTAGCAATTAGAAACTTTGTACACCTTGATCATGCTCAGGATTTCATCATTATGTATAGTCTCCTATCCTCAATCTACTTAAAATAACAAAATGCATGGAGTTAGGTAATATTTAATCAAATGTAACACATTCTGACCACAATTAATCTCATAGAATCTAGTGAGCTGATTTATCGGTCTTTCTTGATGACCACTGAAACACAAGACAAACTTAGCATATACTAAAGTGTGTGAACGGAGTACAGACAGGTGTTCTAGAAGAAGCAACAGTCTTGAACATACTTACGCCATCAGAACCTGATTGCAATATGATCTATTTGAGTTCAGACTTGAGTAGAGCAGGAGGAGGACGCCAGATAAAACAAACAAGATATTTGTGCTGTTGGTTACTGCTGACTAGAAACGAGTTGTGATCTACGCAAAGATTAAGATGTTACCCACTATCTGACCTATGACCGACTAAACTCCATTGGCTACCTAAATGACCCTCTTCTGCAATTAGACGCCCGAAATGTGCATTCAAGTCCCCAGTTACTTACTTAACTGCATACACTGCACCCCTTGCCAGTTACTTCGCACTATAATCAAACATTCTAGCCTACTGGTACACAGATGACTAGTTCAGCTTCGACTCTGGCGCTTACTGCCACATCAACACAAGCGAAGCTGTATGCTGACACCAGAGTCTTTGGATACGTGTACTGTGAGAATGTACAGATGAGGAAGTTATTCAAAGCACGTCACAGGGTCTCTGGGATACAGAATATATCAAATGCAAGGCTTTCCAGAATTACAGCTAATCCTGTGTTGTTTGATTTGAATCAAAGTCCAAAGATTGAAGGTGATCAGCTAGAGAGGTGCGCGCTCTTTCAAAACAGTTGCATCGAATATTACACTGAAGAAGAGAATTCTGGAAGCAACTGTTCAGCGACTCAGGACGATGCATAAAGGTCAAAAGTGAAAGAAAAACAGATACTAAGATAACATCGAAACAATACCATTTGAACATTGATGAGTTTGAAAATGATGGCTGAAAGACACTATGGATCAGATTTGAGAATGAGGAGGTAAATTTGAATGGAATGAATAAGCAGAAAGCTCCTTTCATAGTGAGTTGTGTTTCTTACCGAAAAGTTTGATGAACACTTAGTATTCTTCATTGTTAGTGCTAACTGATAAATAATATGTGGAAAATGACACTCTCCGGACTACCAGACCGATGTACTCAGTTTTCTTTAGACATGAAGTGCTGTATTCTCATGATTGCCTGTGATCAAGATGAGTTTATACGCCATTCACCCCAATTAGATTGTGGGGTCCAAGTGTACTACTGCTTTGTAATAAAGGTTTTCCAACTGATGTCTCTCCGTGACCATCCATGAGGTCATAGCTTCAAAAGTTTGCTTTCGCCATTTATTTTTTTGTGAAAACACTCCTCACTACATACAGATAGTGAGTAGGAGTTCCCTGGTACAGGGTATATGAACGCAGAAGAAGACGAAGAAAAAAATCAACATAGAAACTCACAAAGAAGTGCAAAGGTTCAAGTTTCCCCACTTCAGAGGAACAAGTGGACAGAAAAATACTGACATCAAAGTAGAAGAAGGGGAAGGAATTTGAAAATCAAGGAAGATGAAAATATTCAAACTCTGGAAGATATCAAACAATCAATACATCTGCGCCACTGTGACTAATTTTCACCTATGTCACAAGGGTCTTCGATTATCTTGTATATCCCAACTAGACAGTCTACGCCTTCCTCTGCCATGATAGCTGCTTTTACCAGTCTGTAATATAGAACCTGGTAAGCATATTTATTATTCTAGGTCTTACAGTGATTAAAAAATCAACCATTAATACTTACGCTTCTAGTTCAGCCTTCATTTTCTGTAAATCCTCTTTCGGTAGATTACCTTCATTTTCACCCAACCTTTGTAACTTAGCTCGAGAAGCATCAAAATCTGGTTTAGGAGGAACTGGTGGAACCTTTTAAAAAAAACAAAAGTTAGCGTAAAAGCGAAATAATAAAAAGATACAATTTATGCATTTAAAAAAAATGGATTTATGTAGATGGCTAAAAAAACTGTCAATTGAAGTATGTATTATTTTCATGCGAAAACCAAACAAACAAGTAACTGATCCATCTACTCGCAACTTCTTAGAATCTAAAATTACGACTGAAACATTAACATATTCAAGTAACCATATTAAAGGTGTGATAAGAGATGATATTATTTCATAGTTCCTCTCGAATCGAATCGAAATACACTCAGTAACCACGTTCATACAGTAGCAGGCAATCAGTCACAACTATTGCTCCAGGACTAATGAAATTACCAGCGCAAACCTTAGCAAGCACTATTATTTGTCCTCTGGGTTCCTAATGTAACATAGGCCTTCAGTAGCATGTCTCCACTGAGCTCTGTTCTCTGAAATCTTTTGAACCTGGCTCCACGACAACCCACAAGCTCTCATTGCCTCCTCGCACGATCTCCTCCATGTCACCCTCACCTCGGACGTCCAACTCGTCGCTTCCCATCTGGGTTCTACCCGAGTGCCTGGTCTGGCGCGTGATGTCCCCAGTCGGCCTTCTCAGTGTATGCCCCCTCCAATCCATCTCCACTTTCTTCTGCTGCATATTTGTTGAGTGATAGGTTCTTGGTTAGTTCGTCACTATCCAGAGTTGCGTGTTGCTTATTCTTATTATTCTGGCCATCTGATGTTCAGTAACGAGCCAGTGTAGGTGGTAGTTGTTGATGAATGTGTGTAGTTTGTTGGAAATGCCTTTCGTAAGGCGCCAAGTCTCTGAATCATATAGGAGTACTGATTTGACTGGATTGGTGTTGAAAATCTGGATGTTGTTCCATCGAAACAGCCAGCCTGTTCTGGTCGTAGTTTTGAATGTAGTGCATCGTTTAGCCTCTCGAGGATGATGTGGCTTAATATTTTGGTTTGGGTGGATAGGAGTTTGATTCTGTGCCAGTTCTTGCAAAGACTTGAGTTGCCCCCCATCCTCGGGAGTTTGACAAGGTAGCCCTCCTTCCAATCAATGGTCAGGTACCTTTACCTCCTCCTAGACCTTCTGCGACAGTGGTGTGAGCATGTCCGCTGTTGTCTCTGCATCTGCTCTCAGTGCTTCTGGTGGGATTTCATGTGGTCCTACTTCTTTCCCGCACTTCAGTAGTTTTATGGTGCTCATTACTTCGACTTTTGTTTGAGGATTTGTGTTCACTTGTAGTTCTGTGGCTGGGCTGCAGGTGGTGGTCGATTCAAGAGCTTTTTGAAGTGGTCGGCCCATCGTTTCCTTCGTTTCGTTTCTTTCGTAATTAACTTTCCGTCATCATCTCTTATTGGTTTCATGTGTGTTGATCTCTTCCCTCTCAGATAGTAACCTGGTTATTTGATACAATGTTGTCAGTTCTCTATCCCTCCTACCTGCAATCTGTCCTGCTTCACTTGCCAGTGTTTTGTAGAAGTGTCTTTTATCATTGCACACACTCTTCTTCACTTCCTTGTACAGTGTAATGTTCTATAGGTTGTGTTCAGTTCTTCTTGTCGTTGAGCATCCTTGCACTGGTTTATCTTCTGCTTCACCAGCCTCCTCTCCCTGCTCTATCAGCTTCCATGTGTCCATTGAGATCCATTCCGCTCTTTGTCTTCTTTCTTCTTCCTTCCTAATACGGTTGTGCAGGTTTCTTTCCACATCTCTTTCAAAGACTTCCAGTGTTCTTCCACACAGCTTTATTCAGGGATGTTCCTCGATATCTCCCATTTTGTCTTGATGGCTGGCTGCTGTGAAGATTTCCTTTGTAGTTTCGTCCTTCAGTTCAGTGTCTGTTCTGGGTGTTGTACTTGAACTGTGGCCTATCACCAGCTTCCTTCAAGCCTTTCAACTTCATTTTGATGGTAGGTTCCTTGCACTAGACAGTGAGTGGTGTGAACCTACATCTGCTCCCTTGCTTCATCTGATCTTGTGCCCAGTAGGCTGCATCTCCACTTTCTTCAGATTGAGATAAAGTAGATCTGATTTTTAGTGTGGTATGTCCTGGTGTCTGGTGAAATACATGTGGCTCGCTTTGTGGATATCCTTGTGTTTGAACACACTGCCTTGTCTCCAATCACCAAATCGTTGAATGCACAGAATTCTGCAAACAATTCTCCATTCTCGTTCATCACCTAACCTAGCGCTTCTCGACCCATGGTTAGTTCTCTTCCTGTGTTTTGTCCTCCCAGTTTGACATTCATGTCACCCCACCCATTGGAATTTTGATGTCACCAACTGAGGTCTTGCCCAGTGTTGATTGCAGTTGTCAGTAGAATTCCTCCTTTTTCTCTTGCTCTGCATTATTTGTAGATGCATAGCGTAGCATTGTATGATCGTGACCTCCCTTCTTTTTGAGTCGAACCTTGGTGTCATGATCCTGATTGTGGAGGAGGAGATTGGTTCCCATTGCATGAGAGACAGCCTTCGATGCTGTTGGGGACATCATGACAGCCACTCCATAACTCAGTGTGTTCGTGGTTGTTGTCTGGGTGACAATATAGGAGTAGATTATTGATTCTCCAGTTGATAGTTTGAAGAGTCCACTCCCATTCCATGTGCTTTCGCAAATTCCAAGCACTTCAATGCGATACTTTCTCATCTGGTTTACAATCTGGGCTGCCTTGCTGGGTCCAAACATCGTGCGAACATTCCATGTCTCCATGTTTACTTTCGCTTTCATCAAAAGATGAGAAGACACATAGGCCAATTGGCTTCCCGAAGGATTTCACCAACCGGCGTCATTTTGCCTCTCCGATTCCAGAGAGGAATAATTTTGTTATTATTTTTTATATTTTGTTTGTGCTTTGCAGTTTCTTTGGCGGTTGGATTTGTTTTACGGGGTAGGGTTGCTAGCCCTATGCCCAACCTTCCCTCTTTACCCAGGCTTAGGACCGGCTAGTAACTAGTGAACTAGTTGACCAGGCGAGGCTACAAAGTAGCTAAAAGAAGCTACGAACTAAAGTTCCGGTTTAACTGCTCCAACGTAGATACTCCACTTTCAATCGTGTGTGTGTTCAGTATACTTTCAGGATAAAATTGCGGTTCTTATTAAGAATATATCCTATTAGTCAATTCGATTGACACTAGCGTGGATTGTGTAACTCAAAATTATAGGGAGAAATGGACAACGAGTTACCTTATCCCATATTAGGTATCAAAAGATAGGTAGAGTTGTGGTTCATTAGTTTAGGTAGGTGTCTTTCAGCAAGTGGATTACAGGTATGGACCTGACTATGCTTGTCAGGAAGCACAAGTCATGAGCGGACCAAATTGCATAGCTACACTACGCATCATCATAGAACAGAGTATAGAATGGCAGTCAACTCTACACCTCAACTTCATCGACTTTGAGAAGGCCTTTGACAGCGTCGACCGAGAGGTAATTTGGAAACTGCTTGAATACCAGGGAATACCACAAACCTTTATCAGCCTCATTCAACAACTATATGAAGACGCCACATGCCAAGTAATTCACAATGGGAAGCTCAGTGATGCTTTTGAAGTGAAGACAGGAGTGAAACAAGGTTGCCTACTATCCCCCATGATATTCCTGATTATAGTCGACTGGATCATGCAGCAAACAGTGGGGAGCGAGAAGAGAGGGATACACTGGACTGCGGAAAAGAACCTAGAAGATCTGCATTTCGCCAACGATGACTTGTGCCTGATTTCACACAAACTTGAAGATCTACAGGCAAAACTAACAAGTTGGTAGAAGGGGCAGCGAAGACGGGACTTCAAGTGAACGTTGAGAAGACAGAGGTGATGAAGATGCCCAACCAATAACAACAAGCTCCAATCACCATCAATGGGAGAAACTTAAAGGAAGTAACCTCCTTCACCCACCTTCCTAGGCAGCATCGTTCCAACTACAGGCGATACAGACAAGGATGTCAAAGTCAGAATCGGAAAAGCAAGACAGGCGTTCATTAGCCTAAAGCCAGTGTGGAGATCTACTGCACTCAGCATGTGGAACAAGATACGGATTCTCAACACCAGTCCAGTCAAGTCAGTACTCCTATATGATTCAGAGACTTGGCGCCTTACGAAAGGCATTTCCAACAAACTACACACATTCATCAACAACTACCACCTACACTGGCTCGTTACTGAACATCAGATGGCCAGAATAATAAGAATAAGCAACACGCAACTCTGGATAGTGACGAACTAACCAAGAACCTATCACTCAACAAATATGCAGCAGAAGAAAGTGGAGATGGATTGGAGGGGGCATACACTGAGAAGGCCGACTGGGGACATCACGCGCCAGACCAGGCACTCGGGTAGAACCCAGATGGGAAGCGACGAGTTGGACGTCCGAGGTGAGGGTGACATGGAGGAGATCGTGCGAGGAGGCAATGAGAGCTTGTGGGTTGTCGTGGAGCCAGGTTCAAAAGATTTCAGAGAACAGAGCTCAGTGGAGACATGCTACTGAAGGCCTATGTTCCATTAGGAACCCAAGAGACAAATAATAAAATAATAATAATAATTTGGCTACTTTGTATTGCAGATGTAAGTTAAAGATTACGGAATAGTAGTATATATAGTATAGTATAGTATAGTATATAGTATATAGTATATATAGAAAAAGGAATATGAATTTCAGATAAGTAACATCATTCGCATTATTTTACTTATTTTATAAAACATCATACTTTAGATATATTTTACAAGATTATTGCATAAGTCTACTCAAAAGCTTTATGTTGGCTCTTTACTCATCTCATTACCAATGAACCACATACTCCATAGTTTCGCCATAATCACATCACAATTAACATGGTTTACAACGATAAATTATCTTTTTAACTACGTGAGATAGCCATAGTTTGACAGACTAATATTGACACCAGATGATGATTAGAGGTGAAATGGAAATTTGAACCGTGGCGGGACTCGAACCAGCGACCACCGGGTTCATGCCCTGGTGTCCTACAAG